TCTTCGTATTTCAATGAAGCGTTTCATTACTCCAATCACCGGATATAGCAACATATTACAAGTTCCTTCTTTCAGCGTTGTTTAGGGAACATTTAAGCAGGTAACGACCGCATGGCATTTCAACACCTGCATTGATGCGTACCTCAATCTGAAAAAAATCGGCTTCTCAATTCCTAGTGGATCTAACGATGACATTCAATCGCTTACATGAGAAACGTCGCTCGCATACTAAATTACAGCATTGTAAATAAATCATACGTATATGCTGCTACAAATTCTACATTTGTTATCCTCTAATGACAGCGTCCATCCCTGAGGATGGACCCAATGTGATCCAAAATGCCAGACGTTTTGCAAAAAGCATAATCGAGCGGTGTAAATCAGCTATTTCAATTTAAAATTCTTCTATTGACGCTGTATAACTTATACTGATTTTTAATCAGCTATCAGGTGGGTCGAAAAGCAAGTTACATCTGTAAGACGGACGCATGAAACAACAACTTGGCCGTTTACCTCACCAGTTCTCCGTATCCCATGCCACTCTCTATTATTCTCAGTCTACATGCTAGCAGCTCCTCAAAAATATCATTTTTATGCCAGTTGCTTCCACAGAGGTAGTGAAGCAAATTCGTTGTGTACAGGAATTAGTAGTCAACAGGAAAATTTTGTTTCGCCCTTCGATTCGAACCGTCACTTCTACATGTACCTATAAATTAAAATTCACTGTTACTCCAATTACTTTTTGTTTTTTAACTCTTTTGCTGAAGCATATAACAGTACCTGATTAGATACGCAAAAGTCCTTTTCAGAAAACTATGTAGAACACGGCTTATTCATACATAACGCAAACAAGTTGGTCAATGAAATAACTGAACAGTATGGACGTTTCGGTTCGTACCTTACCGACATTCTTCAATGTGGACAAAGTTGATTTTTGAAGTTCGTTCTGTAATCCGCAGCTATTTTAACATTTAGAGCCAAAACGTGTACTATTGGCCGATGCCGTTGGTTAAGCAGGTTTTCGGTCACGAACTTGAAAAGGCCTGTTCAATCCGTTTTTCTGTATTCGCATACTTTGTCCTAGATGACATTTTCGCAGGACTGGATAATTAACGCCTGTTGGCTTCTTCTGTTCAGCCAGTTTCTTTCTTTAATTATGCACGTAATGCTGACAGTTGAAAAAACCGTGCTTTTATGCAGTTTTCAGTACGAT